TCGGGACTGACTCTAGGAATCAATGGCTGGAGACAATAGGTGACATGGCTCAAAATCGTTATCAATGGCGCAGATGTATTCAGTCTCTGTAATCTTTCATGTTCCTCTCTACCGCTACCCATTCTGTTTCACTCTTATACTTGTCAGACTGTATTGATTCTCTTCACTCATCTTCTTGTCTACCTCTGTGTGCTATTTGGAACGTGGCAACTGGAACTGCTGCACTTCGGTGCCAAGTTCTATGTTCAATCCAGACACACAGACAGATCTGTCCAGATTGGTTTCGCTCTGTTCTAGCTGGTTTTAAGATTTAGTAAAATCAGGATATAAAACAGTATTAGATGACACATCGGTATATCATGAAAAGACAAACGTCAGAACGATTTCCGTCAGTAACATAATCTGCTAAATCGATATACTACACAGTTGAAAATAAAACTCACTGCATTCGACTACATAAGCAATATTCTAACGCATTTGGTTTCAACGATTATGAGGACTGCAAATAGATTACTATGGGATGACAAATTAGCGGTACATACATTGACAGTGCTAATGACTGAGAAGCTATATAAATGCTCTAACGAAGTCCACCTAACTTAACATAACTGAGCCAACTCGATGAATATATTCAACTGAGTGACAGTGAATACTTCTATTGTGGATCGATATCACTCTAAGAATCACCAAAGAATATGATGCACTACACAGGTATATCATCCGAAAATTGTGGCTTTTGAAGAACCCAAGGTGGTCGATTTTGACTAGATTGGAAATATAACTTGAGGGTCTCACCCATTCGGTGATTGGTAATTCTGATTGGCCTAACGTACGATGCAATATAGAAAGGCTTCAATGTTAATTATTGACCATAGTAATAGATCATATGACACTACAAGCCATTTTAAAGCAACTAGTCACCTAATCCGTTTATTAAGAATTGATAGTAAATTTGATCATGGACTGATATGATATGAGCGCAAGTTGTCGTAGTTTGGTGAAACACACAAAAGTGCAGAAAATGTTATAAATGTTATAAAAATACAGCGGATGAAGATAAACAAGAGAGAATAATTAGATCAGGAGTACTGAAGATTTTCAGAATCTGGAAGATTAAAAGTGGTGAATACTTCCGCCCTATTGTGAGCAGTTATGAACAGTGTTACCGATAGTCACTTCACATCGATTCTTCTTCTCTCGATGACCCTAGCTGGGCAGTCTACGCCCATATGTGTGGTTCAACCTGGTAGGCTAACAATGATGTTATCACCTGACCAATCCTAACTCCTTTCTAATCTTATCCAACTTGGGCTCATCGAAAAAGGTGGTAGCTAGATATGTGTAATCCACATTTTAGCCATTCCGACCGATGGGGATTCACAATCTCATCGGTTGACTATCCCTGCTAATCTAACACTCTTCACTTATTTGGACTAATACTAACCAACTATTATACTTCCTAACCCGACAGACTAAAAACATATGCTTGTGGTCAAAAACTACCAATTTTCCATATCATCTAATTTCGACGACCCTGTCTCATTGCTTAAATGTAGGACAAGACGAACTCCTGCACCGTACACACATACCTTGATGGATATTGGATATCACGTCCACGCCAAAGATGCCACAAGCTGGCAACTGCCAAACATACTTTTTTATTACAGCTTGATTCAACACAGTAGTTTTGGTACGATTATGGAATTCTCAGCATGTGATATCGGTAGCCCGAATTCAGCAGGCCGACCATTAATACCAGATGTGTGCCGTCCGGGGATCGAACCCCAGATTATATGCATGGTCGGCGAGCATCCTAACCGCCATGCAATAGACGCAATAAACGGAGGACCGTCACTGAAAAAAATACATTCCCGAGCGCACCCAATTAGTGTCCTTCGCGAGTTTCAACCAATCGAGGTGCAAAGGTGAGCCTCCACCCGGGGTCAGAGCATTCTTGATCACCCTGAATCCTGTGATAGGATCACGTTAGGAATCAGACTCTTAGGGTTAATTGCAACTTACCAAATAACTGAAGTACTCAGTGCATTCTCTCATCCCACTATTTATCCCGAAACTAGCAGTCAACGTTGACCAGTTTTGCAGTGTCATCCTACGTTTGAGAGGAGAAAATCGCATATCGAGAATCCACACTTTAGTTTAAGGTATTCGAAAGACTGTATTTTTACCGAAAACAACTCTCCCCAGGCTCGTACACGGCTATGAGCACAGTGAACTGATTAGTGAAACAAAACTTCACGATATCTCTTTCGCAGCCAGGCATTACCACTGCAACTGTAGATGGACAGATTTAGATTCTGCCTTCAGTCCAAAAAATGACAAGTGCTGGAGGCCAATAAATGTGTCAGAATCTATTGGATTGAAGAACCGATCACTGGACTCATCAAAACGTTAAGCCTGCTTGCTTTCTTCAGGTCCACCATTCCTGAATACCACTTTGTCTTCACAGGACCATAAGACGTAGAATTTCCGGAACTATGTTTGTCCAGCAGATTCTCATGATTGTCATAGGAAGATCTATTTTCATTCATGCAAATTGCAGTAACCAACAACATGTATCAGTCTTACGGGATTATCTCGCATTCCTATATGCTAGCTAGTATCATAACTATTCTAGTGAAATCATCACCTCCATCTTAAAGCACCTCAGGAAATTAAACCAAAGGGCCCTTCTGCTTTTCTCCAGCTACAATTGAAAGACCGATGCCTGCGATTCCTCTCAGTACGGTCCAGACAGTGGTTGACTGCAGTGGAGCCGTAGATCAGTTAGACTGTTGCATAAAATGTTCTGACCAATGTCCCAATCGTCCCTGCTGAGAAAGTAAAGTCTCATACTTTTCAGAAGCCACTTAGCTTACTATAGGATATTTTGGTATCAGTTTCCCTAATAAGCCGAAGGCGACGTTCGTTTTCTTTGTTTCCTTTCACTTATATTACCCATCACATTTCATCGCCATTGCAAGGACGCCTAGGCAGCTCACTTTTAAGAACCTTTGGCTACTTATAGTGTTCGCCTTCAGCCAAGATCACCTAAGATGAGACTGGATTTTACTTATCTTTATCTGCAAGATAGCAGCTGTCTTCACAATAGACTGGATATGAGACCAAAATTCCTTAGGATGAGTACTGTTTTCAAACTTAATACCTATCTAAGTTATCTCCTTCTGAGGCACATAGTTCAATCCTTCATCCAGGCCCGACAATGTGTCCCATCATGTTTACAATTATTGCTAATGAGAACGACATTGTTTCCTGAACAGAATTTTTTCAGGATTATTATCGTCATTGGTTGGTAAGCATAGGATATTCCCACACTTTCCGAATTGACTAAGCTTTCCTGATTAGGCACTAAAATAATCTGCTAAGATGTTTAAGTGTGCGTTCTGTATTTAGCTGCAAACTAAGAAGCTTTTGATATAAAATAAGTCTTTACCTCATCGGAACTGCGGTCGATCTCCGCGCATAAACAGAAAGTATGAAGGCATACATGATTGTCCCAATTTTTGCATATTCCTACAGATCCACTCGTCCAGGAAGCACAAAAGTGACTGTCCACGGGAATTCAGTTAATCAGACATTTTCTACGACACGAAGATAAAGATTCTGGAACCCTTAGGTTGGACTTTTTGATTAATTATGTTGATCAGATGGATTTTAGTGAATAACTATACTTGCGTCTTGTATCCATATCTCAGAGACACATATTACATACAGAGTTTTAGTTAGTGATACCCGAGGTTCAGTTTAGCAGAAATTCCAGACACCAAAAGCTCCAATATGAAATAGAATAAACTACGACTGACATTCTTTCCATTGGCAATAGACACGGGTTAAGGAGAAGGTGAAGCAAGTATTTTGGGAACAATTTTACTGGAGGGATGAAAACAGAAAGATTGAGGAGGGAGTTTTATCCGTAAGAATGGCCTAACCGCTACAGGGCACGTAAGTAAGGATGTGCAATTTTTGTGACAAACCTCTTCTGTTCCTCCCTCCGCAAAGCTCGACCCCATAAACGACTTGGTACGGCCAAGACTGGATTGACTTAGGTCTTCCTCTCAAAATGCTGTCATATGACCCCATGTTCATAGCCTCCTCCAGGTAAGCCTTATTCAGTGCCTTCACACCAGAGCGGGAGTGTTTCTCACAAAAGTGAAAGGGTGAATTCGAAAGTATGGCACTTACGGCCGAACCAGTGAACATGCAGATCCACCTAGGAGAGCTGGAGGAAGATGATTCCGAACCTTTGGTGTACATGGACTCCAGAATCTGAAAGGGTAGAATGGCGTATGAACCTGTATTGGTCACCGTCAACTCCTGACGCCCCTTCACTGACTTATGGATTAAACATTTTTTTTATTTTATTTTATTTTTTTTTTGATTTACAGCTTGATTCCACACTGTATTTTCGGTACAAGTATGGAATTTTCAGCATGGATATCGGTAGCCCAAGTTTTGCAGGCCGACCATAGATATTAGATGTGCGTCGGTGCGGGCTCGAACCCCGGACCATGTGCATGATCGGCGAGAGTCCTAACCACTGTGCCACCGACGCACACAACATCCGTTCAAAGGGTAGGAGTCTCCTTAAGACAACCACTTGCATCAATCTCAGCATCCAGACAGTATCTCAGCCCTCATACAAACTTTAATATTTTGTGTGGTGAACCTATTGGTGCCCATAATGTAACAAGTTTGTATTTTAAGAATTATAAATTCACAGGGCGATAAGATATCATGGTTACCTGCTCTTATGCGCCACCAAGACATCGTAAAGATTGTATGTATAATTTAAGGAATAATATAACCACACAACAATGTTTGATTCAATGTCACCTAAATCAATTCGTCATATTCTAACACAGTGTAAAAATCACGACAGAGAACATGCCATAGATTCACTTTCAGTTTATTTGAATTTTACTAAAAATTATCTAACAATTTAAGTAGTTATAATAATAATATTTAAATTATCTCATATATATATATATATATATATATATATATATGGCTAACTCAACTACATAATACAAAATTATTCACATAAAACTATCATTGATAACGATAGCGTTGAGCGACAGCTCTACTGTCGAGAAATACAAATGAAATAAGGCGACAAGATGTAAGAGAGAGAGACAGGGCTAGAGAGGGAGAGAGATGTGTGTGTGTGTGTGTGAAATGTAATCATAATGATTAAAATTATAATGATAATGAAAGGAAAGTGTTCACGTGTATCAAAGATAACATGCGTACATAATGAAAAATAATAATAATACAGTATATTTGAATAAAATACAATCTGAGGGGAAATAAAAAAAGGTTTGTAATGAAACTTGTATTGTTATTATCATTTATTGATAAACACAGACTTGAAGTAAATTGTATATATTATATGTATATGTATTACTTTAATACAAACAAAATGTTTGACGTTTTACCTAAAGCCTGCCTTACTAGTACTTTATAGATACATATGAGTGTACATATGCGTCTTTTGAATGATGAAAATAGATCCCAGCATAAAACAAAAGAAAAATTTGTGAATAAAGGTACAGGCAAAAAAGAAAAGAGAAAAAAACAACACGTCTATCTTCTTTAAAGTGAATCTCGTTATTCTTTGTCTGACACATAAAAATAAAATTAACTCCATCTATCCTTTCTTTTTTGGTTTTAAAGAGGTTTAGACTCAAAAGGTACAGAGAATTTTTGTTGCCCTGTTTCATTGATTACACAAATATGCTAAAATATAAACCAGGCAACAAAGAAAAAAGATGCACTTCACAGAGAGAGAGAGAGAGAGAAATGAATAAAACATGTTTACTAAAAAAGCAAAAGCTTTCATGACTGTTGGTAAGCTAGAGGTTGTGTGAATTCAGAGCAAGTGTAACAACAAGTAAACAGTACATCTCTCTGTTTGATCCTAATAAACATTCTCGAAATGCACATGTAACTGTTGCATACATATAAGATAGGCACTACTGATGAATAAACCTAAGGGTGATTATATTATAAGAAAAGATAGTACTTTAATTGTTGGAGGCAATCGGTAGGAAGCCTTGGAACTAGGTTTCGTGCTATTTGACACTCAGGCGTATCTGCAACTGCCTTGAAGGAATTCATGTCCCTTCTGAGATTCGAACCCGCATCACCCAGTGCTGCAGTCAGAGAAGTTACCACCGAGCTACTCGGCCTCGTGATTGACCTCCTGTATGACTGAAATGGATACTTTAATTGGACGCTGGGTAGTGGGTCAAGGTTGCAGATATACCTTGCTGACTGGTGAATGCCAACTAGCACGAAACCTAGGTTCAAGGCTTCCTGCCGGCTACCTCCAACCACCTAAAAATCAATGTACACCGTGATGGCGAGCTACCTAGAATGGTGGCCACATTGCAAACCTGACCGATAGAATACAGTCTGCACCAAAGAAAGGATTAGACACATCACACTAGTTACTAGTGTCAATCAAAGATAATGCTTACCTGTATGTCTGTTCTTAATAATACAACATCTCACAATTATATAACAAATATTTTTCTCGTCACCTTAAGCATTGTAAGTGTTTAATGGAAGTGAAACATTATTCCCTAATCACACGCAACTATATGCTGAGGACTGTTGGTAGATGGCTGAAGGCAAGAGCCAGGAAGCCTTCAGCTTAGGTTACGTGCTTGTCAGCCCTCGTCAGTAAGGTGTGTATCTATGAACTTGCAGGAACTCATATTCCGTGTGAGATTTGAAGCCACACCCCCCCCCAATGCTGTGGTCAGAAACGTGATTACTGAACTATTCGGCCTCGCGATTAAACTCCTGTAAGACAGAAATGGATAATTTGACTGGACACTAGGTAGATGACTAATGTCATATGTCTGGTCCTTGGTGATGGTGCAGACTGGATTCTATCGGTCAAGTTTACAATCTGACCTGATAATAGTTACTATATTGCGTCTAACCAAAGTATATGCCTAGAATAAGGTAGGTGGTGCAAAGCTTGGGCTTGTGACCATGTGACTGAAAATCAGCAACTTGGAAACAATAAGCACAGTTCTGTTTGGGGAAGACAACACGACTTATAGTAATCGCCGAAACTGTTCCGAATATTTTTCAAGCAGATAGAAGACGTAGTTTGTTTGTAAAAATAGAGTGAAACTTTCATGGAGAAATTCAAATTTCTCTCGATTTCTTCACTTGTCATAAATGTAAACAAGAATACTCCTTATGGACTTTCAATATGAATAAAACGACAGACACATCAAGTTAACCTGATAATTGCAATTCTAGAGTTGCTTCGACTCACAGACAGTAGTGCTTATAGCATAATTATAAAAGCACACTGGTAATTATTATGAACTAGTGAAAGTTGATTTCTTCACATACAAACAAGGGGACACTTAAAATACTTCCATACAGCTAAGGCAATCAAAAAGAGCTATCATTACTTTCACCAATTCGAATGAAAAAGACGGATAACACGATGGTTTTCGCACAAATTACGAATGCATATAATTTGAATGAAAAAAGTATAATCCTGCTATATTTGAAAAACTTACATGTAAGTCGCGGAAATGTTCATTGTAGTCTAGCGCATAACCCACAACGAATCTGTCAGGGACTTCGAATCCTGCAACTAAACGTTAAGTAAAGAGAACAGTATACAATAGGTAATTAAAAGCAAATTAGAGTAAAAATTCCATTATATTACACAAGAGGAACGGAAATACGTTAATCTACTACTATATATTATTATAGTTTCATTCCACACAGTATCTTGGTACAGCTATGGAATTTTCAGGATGTGATACTGGTAACCCACATTTAGCATGCTGACTATTGATATCAGGTGTGCATCGGCCGGAGACCCAACCCCGGACCATGTGCATAGTCAGCGAACGTCCTAACTTCTGTGCCACCGACGCACTTTAATACCCTCTATAATTGGTTAAACCTGGTGTTTGAGAGCTGATTATAGTATCTTCTTTCCCAAATCTTGATAGGCCCAAACTTATGACCATTCATTTGAAGCAGTCAAACACAGACTAGCTTTGAAGTTCATGTTTGTATACAATAATTAAAAACAGCACAAAAGCATTATGATAAAAAAACAAGCTGAAATAGACACATTTGTCACAAAATATAGTTGAGTGCCAGAAATCAGTGGCTTGTGAAGACTTGCCTTGCAAAGATACCAAACCTATGCTAACGAGACCATACCAGTATCCTGCAACGAACGAATTTTTTGGATCTCTGATGGGCTAAAATCTCTCTTCACTTCAAATAAAAAGCCTTAGGATTTCGTTACTGGAAAGAATGAGCGGTTACAAAGGTATGGTAAGGATAACTGATACGACGGTGAAAACTATATATATATATATATACCAAAAAGCACAGAATTTATATTAACCGAAATATTTTTGACTGTACAAATATATGATCAAGCATTAGTGGTTAACGTAAAATTTTTATAAATCCCAAGCGACATCGACACCTGGCAGAAAGGCAAACTAAAAGATCTCCTACGAGGAGATGGTGAACGCATACACTGATGTGGACTGAAACTGAGTGATACTACAATGGACAAACGTAAGAGTGAAAAATTTATTGAGGGCTAGTGAGAAATAGTTTAAATCTCAATCTACTCCTTTGTAACCTATTTACCAGGACTCTCCAGACACTGCTTCTCGATATGTAGTGGCTCCCCTTAATTGCTCGACATAATTTAGACCGATACTTGAACATTTCGAGAAATGATATCCCTTCTTTATTTGGCCATCTCATATTTTTCTAATATTCTAATTCACCTAACATTGCTTTCCTGGAGAAGCTTTGATTTAGCATATGTAAAACGTGTTACAAGCACTCCACTCTAATATTCACAATCTTACCAAGTGAATCTTCATTATACCAACAATTCAGCACTGAAATCCAACATTACCAAAAGCCTGTAACCCTTCATATCTTCGGTTTTACTGATTACGCTTGACAGCTGCAAAGTAGGACAGAAAGCACTGTTACACTACACGTCATTTTCTCTTTGGTAGACATCGAAGCCTATAACCAGAACTAGACAAACAAATAGTTTAAGTAGTGAGCCTGTCTAAAACACCTAATAAGGGTGGTGCTTATTCTAAAATTAGTGAAGTAGCTAATATATTCAATCGCTTCACTCACCATCCATAAACCAAGAATCAAACCAGTCAGTATTTGGTTTGCGTGAAATAAATTCCATACAAGATTTTCGCTTAAGACATTCGAGAAATATTACACGTTATCACTACGTTCACTTAACAGAAACACGTTGTTTGTATAAATCACAAATCTACTAGATATCCGTCAATTAGAAAATCTAACCAGCAAATGTCAGGAATATGCAGCTACCACTAACTAAATAAACTTAAATCAGGATAATGACCAGGTTATTCTGGTAAACACTAGCAGTCGTCAATTCGAAAAAAGATTCTCCATAAACGTTTATGCAGCTACTGGTTTCAATTCTTTTGTTCTTCCCATACATTTATTTATGTAAATTGTGATACCAATTTAGTCCTGATTGTCTTGTTTTTGAGATATTTTGAAATGTGACAAGTAGAATTAATGCACTTTTTAAGAAAGGTGAATCCCCAGGATAGCCGAAGTTCTGAGCAAGATGTCAAGAAATATTCGTTTTAACTCCCATAAACTTTTGGGTTTTCATCGTACAATATTCAACCTTCAAATTTTTGTTTATATTTTAAATAACGATATGCTAAATTCAACAATTTTGCAAGTACTTTTTACTGATTGTATTCGGAAAACTCAGTGGAACAATGCAGTCAGTGAATGTAACATTAAACAACCAATCTATGTGCATGTATCCCTCCAGAGGGAAAACCAAATCCACTTCTGCTACGCTTGACTAAAATCTATAACGCCAACAAACGTTTCAAATAATTGCCAATATAAAACTATGTTAAACAGTAAACAAATAAATCTGTTAATAAGAAAAGCAAAGAGAGATTTCTGAAGTTAAGACTGCTCACTTACATTCCGGTCGATAATTAACACCATCTTGTGTACGTTTAACGAGTAGACTAGAAAGATAAATGATGCAATAAATCACGAAATAATTATGTTGAAGCTGATTTTATTGCAATCACAATTTTTAAGGACTAAAATCGAACAAACGTGAGTCATTTATTTCAGTTTTATACTAAATGCAAATATGGAAATTTAGGAACCATAACAAGTATGTAGGGTTGAACAATAGGCTACTGAAGACTTTATCTCCTTTACTTTTTTAGTTGAGCTAAAATTACAGGCATATTGTCACTTTTTGATGTAGGAAACTAAATGGACAGGTACATCTCCAAGCTATTAGGTTGTTTACGCTTTTGTGTACTCTACTGAAATTGTTGAAGTTCACGAGAACTGAGGAATTACATATCACCAATCACAAACTTAACTGAAAAGCCTGTGTGAATGAGTGCGTTGAGGACATGGACTTTAATACCGTCTTTCGATTTCACTGTATTGTCACACCTTTATTCTATTTATCTACCTTTAAGGTATAATAACATGCCATACGATGACAAGTTTCATCAAATTGGTATCATGCAGTGTCATGACATGTCGAGTATGGATCAGAATATAAAGAGGGGTTTGTCATGATTAAGTAAAGGAATTCTGGTGAATGCTGCTAATTTTACTACCTTTCGTTTACCAACCACTGTCACCTTCCAACTCTCCATATCCCTGAGAATTTATTACAATATATTCTTTGATATAATGACTGATGATTGTGTTGCAGTCTTCCTAACATACTCATATTTTGGTCCATTTGATATTTAACGAGCTAACTACTGTATACAAATAACCACCATCAATGTGATTACACGTCAACTGATTGATAATGACTTTCTAATTTAAAAGTTAGCTAGTCCGTCACATAGACATACTATGGTTTCAGTTGGAACCACCGAATTTCTAGGATTTTTTCTCAGATAGTTTTCATAACGCCCTCCTGGAATTTCTTTGTATGGAGTAGTGAACAGTTTAGAAGATTTCGTTTAATTTACTGAGTTTTTGAGTCACATTTGTGGACTGTTTTTTAAACTAAAGTTTAGAGAGTGAAGTTTAAATAGGGTAAGGTCTAGTACGTGTAAAAAATTGAAATCATCGGAGAGTACCGCGTGCAAATAATGTTCCAACATGTTTAAAATTGTATCCACGGAAAAAACAGTCTGAACGAAACTTCGACAAGAATTGGACATAGATATACTCTTGAAGCTACATATGATAGCAATCTAACATTTTAGCTGGTGGATTTCCAATTGCACACTAGGTCTGAGTTTTGGCAATGAAGTAGAGCAAATTGTCTCCTTTTTTACAAAAAGCATACGACCGGGTTGCGTACCTGCTTTACAGAACATTCGGAACCAGATGAGTGGATGATTTCAAAAATCCAACATACCAGATAAAAAATCGTGAATTACTGAATACTGATCATGTCGACAGAAAACGCATCGTCTGCATGCGATGTCCGTTCTACTGGCTAACTGAGTGAGGTTCAGCATAGCACTTTGTAGGAATTCAACAGTCCAACCTACCAGACCACATTCTATATCTCATAAACTTATTAGCAGAACACTGACAGTGTCAGTTGTCACGTCTAAATGTTTCCAAACTCATTACTAGTCAAGCTTTATGAGACGTAAGACACTGTCTTACCGAAAAAGGGATAAATATCATACCGTATGTATACACATATAGATATATAAATGAAAAAGTTACTTCCATACACTTTTGAAAACAGCCAAAAGATGTACAAGCACACCTCACTAATAACTCTGTACATAGAAAAGATGACAGACCTGGCGACCTTGACACTTCTCGTTGACAAAGTCCCCATGTAGTTCAAGAGCTTCTTAATAGTCCTCCCTGTGTCAATAATATCTTCGACAATAAGAATGTCCTAAAACATAGTATGAATGAAGCGGTGAAGTACTTTATTCTTATATTCCGAAGGGTCTTCCATTCCTGTTAATATAGGTTCATGTGTACTAACGTCATTCTAGTAGATAATTTCAAATGTTGAATTGTCGGACTTACGACATAACTTTTAACACGAACAAATTCAACTGACATAGGTAGAAGGGTTCCTCTTGCGCGGATAGTACGTTCCAACACCTCAACAAGATCACCTAGAAACTTGAATCCACCTTTCAGAACACACATTAATGTAATGGATTTAGCTTTGGAAGCCTCATATGCTTCAACAATGTCCATTGACATCTTCTCCAACCTTCAAAGCACTCAAATCGAAGGCATAATTTACCTGTCTTTTATCATACCATTAGGTATTAGAACGTAGTCTAAGCACCCATCATACCGAGGGGAAGTACAAAAATAGGCAACAGGAAAACCTCTGTAGTCGTCGTCCAACTAAAAGTAATAGGAATTCGGGAAAATACCTACCACAATACAATCACTAGCCTTCGCGCTGAAAGACATGTGGGAGGCAAAGAAGTTGAATGATCCTCACCAACAAGGACAAAAAGTTCATGATATTACAAGTGAATGACATAAACAAATATCTCACCAAAACGTTTCCTATACATCTCATCCCATTTTTATGGATTGATTTTTCTCAGTACTGCTTGTTTATTGTGAAATACAATCTGTTCTTTTCGCCTGGTCTCTTGTTGGCGTTATTTTTTTAATATCTTCGTTGGATGTTGTTAGTTATTGGTTCCGGGAATATGTTGAGTAAGTTAGAAGCTGCTGAAATGTTAAAAAGCTGAAATAAATTTTCTGTGAGTATAGAGGGATATGAACTGCAAATTGGTAAAGAGAAATTTTCTGTTGTCTACTAATGAATGACTAGGTTCAAACGGAATTTTATATTGAGTTTGGAAAGCTAATTATTTTTGAACTCTCATAACCCGACGTAAATATAACTTGCTGTAATCATATGCTTGCGTCGGTGGCATAGCAGTTAAGACTCTCGCCGACCATGCACATGGTCCGGGGTTCGATCCTCGGCCGACTCACTTCTTTACTTCGCTATGCCAGAAACATTGCTGGTAAAGAGGAAAGTTTGGGCATGAGGCTAGCAATCCCATCCTGTAAAAATTAAACACTGCTACAGAAACTTCAAGCCACTGGCTTGAGGCCCTATGCTCCACTGGGAACGTGAAGGAAAAAGTATCCTATGCTTTATCCTGTTGTGCCCTTTTCCATGTGTTAAGTAGACCCCCGCTTGTCAGCAGTGGTGTGGTTTCTTAGGAGAGTAGTCGCATTTTTCCTTTCATTGGATGGTCACCAAAACTGACCTAAAGTAAATAAGATGAGTTTGTATGTAGTATATGATGAAGATGAAGGAAAAAATGAGGCACGCGAATTGAGTAAGTGCAACTGTTCAACAAGCGTAAATATCTAGCACTCTTTCAAATCCCCTAGTGGAAACGATGCTGTATAGTATGCTATCAGTATTTCGCAAGGTGGAGACAGACAGTGACAGAACGTGGTCCAATTCCATAGTCAACAAACATAACATGTCCCAAATTTTGTGACTACCACTGCTGATTATTTTTGCAAACTGAAAAGTCGCTCTCCAGCTTGTAGTTATGAAGAGGTGAAGTTCCTATTTCCAAACCACTCACCGCACTACCTTTTTATTTCTTGGTTGCCCACAGTACACTGTCCGAAAAACTGACCTATTTTGTCAGCACTCTAAAATTTGAGATGAGACCTTATGTACACTTTGCACAATAGGGACATCTTAAATCTATTTCCTGTTAGTAGTCATCTCTTTTGATGTCGAAGTTGAAACCTAGTTCGTATCATGCATATAATTTATGATGGTTCGTAAACTTTAATTGTACCATGCCACTAGAACCACACACATCGAAGGATAAAAGGCTTTGTAATTCATGAAACTGAGATTTGTGAAGTTTTCTGATAGTAAGGGTTAATCCTTAGGTTCTTCCAGGTTCAAATAAATCCTTATTACCCTCTTATTCTGATATTTTCTGCGTAAAGTTAGATACTGAAGGAGACATTCTATGATAAGCTTCTGGGGAGGGCAGGAATAAAGGCGGATTAACAACCAGATCTCATGGTGTACGTGCAACTAATACCGCAAGGGTCTATTTATGGGGTATATCTTTATTTTTAGTAGCAATAATAATAGCTGGAAAGTGTGTCTGATGCGTTGTGGAATCCTCAACATGCAATATTTACTTAATCTAGTCTTCTCGTTGAAGACAAGTCAACAAAAACATAATCTACTGACTATTTTGCAGTAAACTGGTATTTCTATACCCAAAGCGGTTTTCAACACATAAAATGCGTTTGAACTAAGCTGTCGTTGAGTTACTACACTTTGCCATGGGAGCACAGAGTCTCCAATAATTCCTTATGGTCCTACAAGGTGTCATGCTAAAGGAGAGTTGGTTATAAAGTGGTGGGTGGTGAATTCTGACAAGATGAATTCCGACAGCGTCTCGCACGCAGTGAATTGTGTGCTAACAGCAGTATAACACGGTGGGTCAGCGGTGTGCCACCAGCTCTGCCGACAGATTTCAGCACTCTTCGCCACGTAGTAAAGTCCAGTGGCTTTACTGCATATCTACACTATTTGTAGCGTCGTAGTCCACCGCTACGTCGGTATACATTTCGTAAATACGAAGTTTTGCATCCAAAAACCTTTCCTGATGTCGACGGCACAGTGTACTGAAGTACACTACAATTTCTGCACTTGTATGAGGAAATGTGGCTTGATACTGATTTTCCGCAGTTTAGTGGATTGAAGTAGGCAGTAAGTTCAGTGGTCAAACGTATATTTTTCGTGTTTTCACAATGTCGTGTTAGTAGGCTTGTATTGTTTAATCTAAAGCTATTGTTTTAACATGAGGATAATTGTTAGCATTTAACGTATAGTTACAGAGTTAATAATTGTTTTCGAACACTCAACACAGTCTGTCTCTCGTTTTAAAGATACAGAGCAGAAGAACTATGAGCACCGTATAGTGTTATCGTGAACTTTTATTTCAGATGGACATTATTTTGGGAAAATATCCATGTTAATATAGTTGAAGATTGAACGATCAATTCATGGTTGTTTGCTCAAGCCCAACTCCTCCATAATTTTCGTGGGAGTCACCAATACGGCAGTCATCGTCTCATCGTTAGCTGTTCAGCGGAAGACAGAAAACTATCAGAAGTATTATCGTGATTTATTGTAGTGATATTTATTCTTAAACCTTGTGTGTAATAACCTTATTGTTGGTTACATGTTGGCGTAAGAATAAAGGATTCTCGAGTCACCAATCTGTGTTCTGCTTTTTTCGCGTTGGTTATTACATATTGTTTCGGAAAGTCTTCCAGGGACAGCGTGAGGTCCAGCGTATTAAGAGCTGGACATTGACAGCATAGGAGGGTTGGCTGACAGTTTCTGATATTTTCTGTTCGTCTTTCCTGGTGTCTGCAAGTCTTCTTTGGTCAAGTTTAGTGATACCTGGGTCAAAGAAGGGACGAAGCATATTGGAAGCAAGCGGGAAAGTAAGTAGTGCTGAGTTGCTTGTTAATTGTAATAATATGTATAATGTTCAGCATGATGAGTCTGTTGTTCATGTTTCGCCGTCTAGGGATAATAGGAATTTTAAACTGCCTAAATATGAACCTCGGTGTTTCGACGTAAACTCAGCTGACTATACACAGTTTGTAAAGGAGTTTGAAATCATGTTGAGTGGTTTTTTCATAAATGATGAAATGAAGTTGATGTATTTGTTGAGGTACTGCAATGAGGTTGCTTCAAGAGCTATACAGTGCTGTAAGTTCATGAAGCCAAACGAAGAATATAATGAGGCGGTGAGTATCTTGCGTCAAAGATATGGAAAACCTTCAATGATTGTAAGGAAATTATTTGAGGCTGTTAAGGGTAATGGTAGTCAATTACGAGATGACTCCAAGGCACTCTGAGTTTTTGGATATTCTATTGACTTACAAGAATTCGTTGATTTCGATGAATTGCATGACTGTTCTGAACTCAAGTTCTGTCCTAGAGCAAGTGGGTGAAGATAAGCTCTCGTATAGAGGATGAAGGTATTGAGCCAAAGTTTGATGATATTTTGAAACTGGTGAAAGATATTGTCAATCAATCTATGAGCAAGTTTGCTAGTATATTGTATCCCACCCCTAGAATAGAGCAGCCTGGGAGCGAAACCCAAACATTTATGACGAGAAGTGGATATCGAGAAAGCTGTATGGTGTCTAGTAATCCATATAAAATTGGTGAGTGTGTTGCGTGCGTTGTCTGACTAAACTGCTGTACACATGTATTCTATGTATTTCTTCGCTCTTATTGATGTGCGCAGACGTTGTGGCTACTCGACGCCCACAACGTAAATCAAAAGGCACTTGTGAAGATTACGAATATGTATTGAAGCAGTAGTCAAATTCGAAATTGTGTCAAGGTAATATTCAACAGTGAATTGACAAGTATTTGCGAAGTACGTATAAAATCAGTCTGTATACACATATAATGCAAGTATACAAATTAGATTAAAAAGCATGTTTACAGTTGGTATAGGGGTACTACATAATTCCCCCACCAGAACACCAAAATATAAAAAAAATACATTTAAGTGTTCGAAAATAACATGCGTCAGCGTAATACGTAGCAGCGATAGTACACAGAAGGCGATTTATTAAGCTGAAAAATGAGCGGTTTAAAGCGGTTAATAACATCGATAATAAATGCGATAATCTAGGGAAAGTGAAATTGCTAATCGTAATAGAATATATAAGGAACGATAAAATTGTCCGGGGATCTGTAGTCGGTAGACGAAAACGATACGTGAATAATATACGAGATGTGATTAAATATAATAATATAGGAAATATCGATGTTAAAATAATAGTGACGTGATTTATGTATGAAAATATTAATCAGTTAAATGAGTAATCAAATGACAATTACGAATAAAGATAATAAAAATGAAAATTCATAGTAAGTTATATTTCGATGACTTGCACGTAACGTTTAGGCCAATGGACTCGTCTACCAGATCGTGTTGTTTTCGCAGGCTTCTCTGTCGACGTTGAAGCTTGTGTGGATGTAGGTGTTGGCACGTCGGTCAGCTGGTTCTTATCGTTGACTTCGAAATCGTCGAGGAACGCTGGTTTGACTCTGTCGATACTGATGGCTTCTGTTTTATTCAATCTTTCTATCGTGATAACTTTCGCGTTTCTGTTTAGAACTTTGAATGGGCCATCGTAAGCGGGTTGAAGTGATCGTTGTACACCTTCTCTCCTGACGAAGACGTGAGTACAATCTGTCAGTTGTGACGGGATGTATGACGCTCGTTCCTGCTGACGTGGAATTGATATCTTTAGCTCGTTCATGTGTCGTTTTAGCTGATGCACGTAACCAGTCATATCGTGTGGAACTTTGTTACCCGGGGTGAAAAATTCTCCTGGTAATCGTAATGTTGTTCCGTAGACTAGTTCGGAAACACAGCAGCCAATATCTTTCTTTATAGTAGCTCGTATACCAAGTAATACTAGTGGAAGTTTGGTTGACCAATCGTTTCGAGTCAAAGAAGCAGCGAGCGCAGCTTTGAGTTGTCGATGAAATCGTTCGACCATACCGTTGGAACTAGGATGATACGCTGTCGTTCGTATTCGTTTAATGCCTAGTAATTCCGTTAGTTGGTCAAACAGTCGGCTTTCAAACTGAGCACCTCTGTCTGTAGTGATAATTGATGGGACACCAAAGTTGGCTATCCAGTTTTCGACTAAAGCTTTAGCTACCGTTTCAGCTGAGACGTCGATTAATG